TAAATTTTATTAATTGCAGTTTTCAGCACCAGAATTTCCTTCCGTATCTTTTCTTATTATTCATGTCTTTCTAGTAATATTTCTTGCCCATTCACCATTCTTCTGATTAACTTTACCTTTGATTTGCTATACTCTAAAAACATTTCAAACTGGTAATTTTAGTTTTCATATTGAAAGTCCAGAGGCTTTCTTAGGGCCAGTCATCTCTGAATAGTCCTTACTTTCCTTTTAATTTACATGTTCCATTCTTTTTCTTTAACTACTGGGAATTTTGAATATGAGAATGAAGTTGTTCTGTAAATCAAATTTTTCTCCCTCTCTCGGGTTTGTTTTGTTTCTTTTTCTGTATTGTAGCTGTTGGTTTGTTTAGTGTGTTTTCTAAGCTATTTTTTGTGAAGACTGCATTAGGTTTTTATGTATGATTTCTGGAGTTTCTTTTTCCTTAGCTTGTATTCTGCTAGCTTCTTACAGATATTTACTTAGGCTTCTAGTGCTTTCTCTTCCCTTGCACTAAAGAAAAAAGCAGGGAACAAGGAAAATGGAGATGGGATGGGATAGAGGCAGGGACTAGAACAGGGAGAGAGAGAGAGGAGACACTTGACAGAAGATACAAAGAAAAGTTCTCTCATCCCTGCAAGCTGACTCGGCATTGGGGTCCTCTTTCAATGCTTCTTTACCAGACCGTTTTACGTTCAGATTTCATATTCATTCATGACTGGTGCTGGTTTAAAGTTAAACCAAAGGGGGGCCAATGCTGTGGCTCACTTGGCTAAACCTCTGCCTGCAGCGCCGGCACCCCAGGTTCTAGTCCCGGTTGGGATGCCAGATTCTGTCCCGGTTGCTCCTCTTCCAGTCCAGCTCTCTGCTGTGGCCTGGAAGGGCAGAGGAAGATGGCCCAAGTCCTTGGGCGCTGCACCCGCATAGAAGACCAAGAGAAAGCACCTGGCTCCTGGCTTTGGATTGGCATAGCCGCGGCCTTAGTGGCCATTTGGGGGGTGAACCAATGGAAGGAAGACCTTTCTCTGTCTCTGTCTCTCTCTCACTGTTTAACTCTATCTGTTAAAAAAAAAAAAAAAGTTAAACCAAAGGGAAACTTAGGGTCTTTTCGTATCTTTGCAAAACATTCATCCTGCGGTGGGTATAGGGACTGCTTTCTGCCTTTTTCAGTCCACGTAGACACTGTTAAGTGCTCTAATTTACCAAAGAAATGATCTCCCTAGCTTTTCTTCTCAAGAATGCAGCACTCTTATATGGCTATATTTGTAATCCCTTGATCAAGACAGCTTCTGGTTGTTTCTCTGCTTCACTTGGGTTTTGAGAAATGCCCACCACTTCTCTGCACTTAGTGGGTTTGGAGTTGGGCAGAACAAAGGAAGGCATGTGGAGAACCCCTTCCCTGGTTAGATCAGACAAACTTGATTTGTGGAGAATGCTCTGCTCTGCCTCTCTGTAACCAAATTCTAGGGTCCCACATGAGTGATATGGGCTGCCACCCTCATGACTGCTGCAGTGCCAGAGAAGGTGGTGGTGAGTGTGTGTTGAGGGGCAGGGTGGAAGCAAATACAAATGCCCTACAGCTTTCCTAATGTTTGTAAGTTGTCTTCTGCTTAATTAAAAATTTTCTTGGCTGCTATAAACTTTTGGCTGCTTTACAGAATTCGGACAAAATTGATTCTAAAAGTTTTTGCTTGAGTTTTCTACAGAAGATGGACCCTTGGAATTCATTCCTCTGCCATTTTTTTCTGGTTTCTGTCATATATATATATATATATATATATATATATATTTACAGGCAGAGTGGACACTGAGAGAGAGAGAGACAGAGAGAAAGGTCTTCCTTTGCCATTGGTTCACCCTCCAATGGCCGCTGCGGCCGGCGCGCTGCGGCCAGTGCACCACGCTGATCCGAAAGCAGGAGCCAGGTGCTTCTCCTGGTCTCCCACGCAGGTGCAGGGCCCAAGCACTTGGGCCATCCTCCACTGCACTCCTGGGCCACAGCAGAGAGCTGCCCTGGAAGAGGGGCAACCGGGACAGAATCTGGCGCCCCAACCGGGGCTAGAACCTGGTGTGCCGGAGCCGCTAGGCAGAGGATTAGCCTATTGAGCCGTGGTGCTGGCCTTCTGTCATATATTTTTAAAATATATGTTATATTGGTAGTAGTGCTGTGGTTTGCTACAGAAACTGTCCAACCAGAACCAGAAAGTGCCCAAAGGGTTGGTGCAGATCCATCAAAGCTAATTTCTTCCTTGGAATTTCTCTGGGTTGAAGGAAAATGTCTCTCCTAAGACCCCTGGAACCAGGTCATATCTAATGAATGACAAGTCAGTAAGGAAGAAGAAAGGCTTGACCTTCTTGTCAAGACATCCGATGACTCAGGACAAGTCTAAGAGTTTACCACATGTTCAGATATTTTAGGATTGTTGAACTTTTTTCACATTGTAATGAATACTATTCACTTTTCAATGCAGACAATCTCCAATTCATGATGATCTGACTTAAAATATTTTAACCTTATGATAGTACAAAAGTGATGCACATTCAGTAGAAACTGTGCTTTGAATTTTTAATTCAATACAGGAGAGCAACGTGTGGTACAATCTTTTCTCACTTGGCAGGGGTTGGAAGATGCAGCTTCCCAGGAACTATCCGATCATAAGGGGACACATTTGATACCCTGATACTTTACAGGGTGTTGTGTTGATAAGCAAAGATGTTTGGTAGGTTAGGTGAATTAAATCCATTTTTGACTTATGATATTTTCAATTTAGGATTGGTTTAATGGTTCATAACCCCATTCAAGTTGAGGAGACTGTATAATTTCCATAAACAGAATATGAGTCGCAGAGTCTTTCTTGTAATATGACAAAAATCATAGCTAAATTCAAATAAAAAACTGAAGAAAATGCATTTTGTTTGTGTTAACTTGCACCTTTTACTTTTGCCTTGCTTCTGGCCATTAATTATTATTTTCCTAACTCCTCATGGTTAATATTTAATGTTTTTTTTAAAAAAAGTCCCTAGGCTAATTACGAAATTAGATAGTTTATGTTACTTATCTTCCTTCCTTTTTTGAAAACCAGGAGGAAATACCTGTGCTTATTTTTGTAAATTTGTTCAAAATTTTTTCAATGGTTATATATACAAGTCAATCATCTCATTTCATCCCATGGTAAATACTTAGTTACCACATAAAGTTTATCTTTTTCAAACTTATATATTTAACTGATATAGTGAAAATTCTCACTTCCTACCCCAATAAAATCTTATTCCTGATCTCATTGTAAGAGAAAATAAGACAAATAATATGTTACTAAAATTTTATTTAAACTTTATATTTTTTTGAAAGGCAGAAAGAAACAGAGTCAGAGCACTCCCATCTACTGGTTCACTACCCAAATGCATGCAATGGCAGGGCCGGGCTAGAGCCAAAAAATAGGTCTAAGGAACTCCAATTGTGGATGGCCAGAACACAATTACTTGAGCCATCCCTTCTGTCCCCCAGGACCTGCATTGGCAGAAAGCAAGAGTGAGAGGCTGGACATGGAAGGTCTTCTACCCACTGGTTCACTCCCCAAATGGGCACAATGGCTAGGGCTGGACTAGGCTGAATCCAGAAATCATGAGCTTAATCTGGGTCTCACATGGGTGCAGAGTCCCAAAAACTTGGACCATCATCCACTGCTTTCCCCAGGTGCATTAGCAGGGAGCTGGATTGGAAGTAGAGCTGCCAGGACTCCAAACAGTACCCAATAAGGGATGCCAGTGTTGCAGGCACAGGCTTAATTTATGACACTACAACCCAAGCAGAATTTGGATGTCTTAATTGGCATTTTGAATGCTAACCTGAACATCTACCCAAATTCTATTTTTAAAGTCCATATCTATATCATTTTCTCACTGTTGAGGATATTGATAAAAAACAAAGTAATTTTGATTAATGTAAACCTTTAACATAGGAATTGATGGGCAAAAGTGGTAAGTTTATTTCAGCCTCTGGGTTCAGTTTATTTCTATGCTTTGATTTTATTGATGCATTGTTGAAATAATCATTATAAATAAGAAGTTTAAAATAGAAAATTAAAAAAAATTGCTATAATGTATTTTGTCGAAAAAGATCAGTGAAAAGTAGTGCTCTACTTCTATATGAACATTGCTTATGCATAGGCTAAATAACTGGGCCAGAGAGAGTCTGGAATTTCACACATAATCTTCTAGTCTTGCAGTGTGTCTGAGCCTTGAAGCATTTGGAAAGAAATCAAAGATATTTTTAAGGGATATGCATTCGCCAAAGCAGTTAAGACACTGCTTGAGTTTTCTGTCAACCATTTGAGTGTCTGGGTTTGAGTCCAGGTGTGTTTCCCATTTGAGTCTCCTGATAATGTATACCCTGGAAGTTGCCAGCAAGAATTCAAGATTGATGTAATCCTATTTGTTAATTTTGGATTTGATTTCTTGTACTTCTGGGGCTTTTCCAAGAAGTCTTTTCCTATGCCATTGTCTTGCAGAATTTTCCTAATGTTCTCTATAATTTGAAAGTATCAGGTCATAGATGTAGATCTTTGATCCATTTTGAGTGAATTTTTGTGTAAGTTGTAAGGTAGGGGTCTCCTAGAAGGCAATTATACATTCCTTTTTGGTATAATGGTTTAAACATGCCTTGGAATTAATTTTGAAAAATAAGTAGGGCACATTTAAACCAAAATACCAAAGAAGAATGCATAATTGCCTTCTAGGAGAAGAAATTCATCGTGGAAAGAAGGAAGGAAGGAAGGAAGGAAGGAAGGAAGGAAGGAAGGAAGGAGAGCCTTGTATGTGAGGATACCTCAAAATGTTTACAGAAAACTAAATTTAAAATATTTAAAGAATTACAAGATAAGCTTATTTTGATGTAAAACATTTTGAAATCCGTGTATATGAGGCATTTTGAAAACAGGCATATTTTCTAAATGTATATTATGAAAACATTATTCATGGATTTCAAAATAAACTCTTTTACTTACATTTTTACATGAACTTCGTGAAAATCTCTCTTTGACAAATGAGCCAAAATCAGTCCCTGGAGCAAGGACAGTCTCTTCAACAAGCAGTGCTGGGGAAACTGGATCTCTGTGTGCAGAAGTATGAAACAATGTTTTTAAATCCTTATTATTTCAAATTATAAAAATTCATATCGACTTTAAAAAGAAACTTTAATGTTAGGATGATATTGGATTTGGATTTACAGAAAATTATGACTTTAGTATTGCAAATTACTGTATAATTTGCAACCATTTTGACTACTGATAACATCTATTGATATGGTATATTTGCAAGATTAATGAAGCTTTATTGACATATTGTTATTAACTGAAGTTCATATTTCATTCAGAATTCTACTAAATCTTTTTTTTTTTCTATTCTCAGATCTCATCCAAGATACTACGTTGCATTTAATTTTCCTGTCTTCAAAGAGTCCTGTTGTCTTGTGACATTTTCTCTTTTTCTATGACTTTGACAGTTTTGAGGAGTACTGGACAAGTATTTTGCAGACTGCCTCTCAACTGGGATTTGTCTGATGTTTTGCTTCATGATTCAGTGCTGGTTGTGTGTTTTTGGAAGGAAAATTACAGAGTTACAGTGTCAGCCTCTTAATATTCTATCAAGGGTATATACTATAAACATGACATTTCACTGTTGATGTTAACTTTGATCACCTAGTCTGAAGTAGTGTTCATCAGGTTTAACCATTGCAAAGTTGCTGTTGCATTACCTCTTCCATGTAATAGTCTTTGGAAGATCACTATACAGAGCTCAGACTGAAAGAAGGGAAAGCCATGTTCCAAAGGAAGAATACCTCTACTACAAATTATTTGGACTTCTCCATGAGACATTTGATTTCTCCTCATTATATTTATTAATTCAATTCTCTTGTATCCTTTATTGACTAATGTAACACTTTCGAAATTTTGTTTTTAAGAATACTTGTCAATTTTTAAAATTTATTTGAAAGACAGAGTGCATTTAGAGAGGGAGAAAGAGAAAGAGGGAAAGAGAAATCGAGAGAGACCTTTCATTTGTGCTTTAATTACTCAAATGCCTACAGTAACAGGGACAGCCTGGGTGGAAGCCAGGATCCAAGAACTCCATCTAGGTCTCTCACATTGGTGTCAGGAACTCAAGTACTTAAGCCATCATCTGCTGTCTCCTGGTCACATTAGCAGGAAGCAGGATCTGAAATGTAGGCAGGGCTTAATCCCATGTGTTCAGACATGGGATTTGAGTGTCATAACTGGCAGTTTATGCCACTACACCAGAAAAACTGCCCCATTAATAAAATAATTTTTATATCACTATGGATTAAAGGATATATAATTTATTCTTTAATTATGATAACATACTGATTTGTCTGTTTCTCAAAATCTTCCACCTTTAGCCAGTGTAGTTCATGTGTCCTGCACACTCATCATGAAATTTTGCTCTTAATTTTTGCTTAATTTTTAGTAACTTTATATTTTCTGACATTATAAGATGCTCCAGGTTCATCTTGTGTGTTTTATAAAGCAGTCCCTGAGTCAATATTTCCTGATTCAATCCCAGAGTCAGAACACTGGGGCATTTCAAAGGAGAATGGTATCAGAAATAGATTTGGGAACTAAATGTCCCTGATTCTTCAATGCTGTTTTTGCATCTAGGTACTCTTGATAAACAGAGCAAGGAGACATTACAATGATACGTCAAAATGTTTATTTAAAATTAAATCAAAGGTAAGTTTATTTTGCTGTGAAACATTTTGAAATTCTTCATATGAAGGGTATTCTAAAAGTTTGTACAAAATATATATTATGTAAAACCTATGCACAGATAACAAAATATTTTTTCACCAAAATAAACTTGTCTCTTAATTCCATTTTCCACATTTGAAGTTCTCTAAGATAAGTATATAATATGCTATGTGTATGCATAAAATATTGTAGTATTTACAGCTGTATTAAACTAAAAGTGAATTAACTTTGTTGCATCCAGCCCTAATTCACTACCTACCTTCCTCTTCCAACACTAACTGTGTGAAAACTAATTTCCACTATTTTCCATACATTTCCTAAATTGCTCCATTACAATAAACATGGATTGTGGGTTTAGGTCAATAATCCATACCCTCATGGGAAATAATTTCATCAACTAATGCACAGGTTTTATGTACAGTCATTTTGACTTTAAGTTTGCAGACTACATTCATTTCAAAAGTTACTTAGGTCAGAACTTGGTTCTTCAACTCCTTTTAGTGAGGATGTTTAATAATTTTTAACTATATTTAGATTTCTTGTCAAATTCTGCATTCTATCCTGTGTTTCCTCTGTCTACAGATATTTTTAAAAATTAGCATATGTTAAGGTATATTCTTTTTGTTGTAAATTTCTGAGTTTTAGCAAATGAATAATATATGCATTTACTTTTCTGATATAATATAGAGCTGTTTTGCTACTCTAAAAAAATCCCCTGTCCTTTACCTATTCAAAACTTCTCCTTTCCCTCAAACTGAAAATTAACAATACTCAACATTTCTATAGTTTTACCTTTTCAGTATGTCATTTTATTAGGATCATAGGGTTATTTTGCCTCTGAATACTGATTTCTTTCATTTAAGTAAGAGTATTTTAGAATCCTCTTTGTTCTGGTACTGCTTGGTAGGTCATATACTTTTAAAACTAGTTATTACTTCTTTTTTATTTGAAAGGCAGACACATAGACAGATAGAAATCTCCCATCTTCTGCTTCATTCCCTTAATGCCAGTGACAGCTGGGCTAGACCCAAGGTAGGAGTCTCCAACTCCATTTAGGTTTCCCATGTGGATGTCATGGCTCCAATGGCTTCTGCTATAGATAGGCAAATCTCTTCTGTGGCTCTACATGAATGCCTGTTTCTTTGGATTTTAAAGGTGTCGGTTTTCTCTGAAATCTTAATTCCTTGATGGAACCAAAAAGTCATTGATTTTTTTCCCCAGTGTTTTCTCATGGCAAGTACAGGAATAATGACTTCTAATCATTTTATATACTAAGATTGAAAGTGGAAATTACTCAATAATTTACTCCAAACAACTTTATTCTCAACTTTATTCTGAATCTTTTCACATTTCTTTTTATAAAGATTGCATTCCATATGCACGCACTCTGAAAACCTTAGGCCCACTATATTATACTCATTTGGGCAATCTCAATTTTGCTTAAATTCAATTATTTTTCTATTCCATACAGCATTTGTGTAATTGAGTTATAACTTTGATACATTTTCTTACTTGAAATTCTTGCTAATAGCTATAAATAAGTCTAATACTACTCACTTTAACCCTTTGAGTCCCTTCACTTCCTGAAACTGCTGGGCAATTACTTAATGTTCTTTTTCCTACCCTAATTCCTCAAAGTTTCCGCATTTTCTTTTCCTTTTTAACTTCAGCAATATGAATAGAATTTCCATGCAATTCCTTTCACAACCTCTAATAACTCATCTCCCTCCATGCATATACATTCTACCTTCTCTCTGCTTCAAATGGATACATCTCTGTGCTTCTGGACAAGAAAGAAATCTCCCCTGGTGCGCTGTATTCCTTCCTCATAACATGCAATGGCTTTAGCCATTTTGTCTCCTGGCCTCTGTATCATACCTTTTCCTCTTTCTTCTAAAATATTGTTAGTGGTATTAAGTTAGTAATGTGTTGCTTCTCCAACCTTAAATTTACAAATTATAACAATGCTTCTTGGTTCTACTTCCTTCATTACTATGTCTCCCTGTTTCAATATTTCTCTTTAGTAGTTTCACTGCTGTCTTGTTATAAGGTATTCTCACATTCTCTAGTAATTCACTACCATATAAGTTTGGTGTCTACCATTAATCTGAAAATGTTCTTGTCAAAGTGACCAAAGACCTTTATGTTGCAATATTGGTGATCTTTGAATTGTTTTTATTTATCAGAATTATTTGATAGAACTGATGTTTTTGTCTAAATATACTTTCATGTTCTGGTTTCCAGGACACCACAGTTTTTTTACTTACTTTCTGCTTCATTGGTTCATACAATTTCATTTCATTTTCTTATTCCTATTTACCCTCCACAACCTCCTCTATGAAAGAATTATGTCTTCAACCTGTTTTTCTCTATTTATTCTATTGGAGTTCCTATCCATTAAATGACATTTTCCAAATTTATGTCTGCATCCCAACTTCATCTAATATGTTAGTTGTATGTGTAGTTATCATCTTAAATTTAACATTTCCAAATTAAAACCCGCTCTTCCTCTCACAAAGAAATAATACAAATACCCGAAATCACAATTAACCAATTCTTTTTCCCATATTCCATATCTGACACATCAGTTCATTTTTTAAAAATTTATTTATTTATTTAAACATCAGCGTTACACAGAGAGAGAAGGAGAGGCACTGGTTCACTCCCCAATTGACCGCAATGACTAGAGCTGTGCTGATCCAAAGCCAGGAGCTTCTTCCCAGACTCCAAACGCGGGTGTAGCGGCCCAACGACTTGGGCCATCTTCCACTGCTTTCCCAAGCTATAGCAGAGAGCTGGCTTGGAAGTGGAGCAGCAGGGATCCAGACCAGTGCCCATATGGGATGCTGGCACTGCAGGTGGCAGCTTTACCTGCTTCACCACAGCACCAGCCCAAATCAGTTCATTTTAAAGTATATACCCAGAAATGAGTGCTTCTTAATACCATCACTGCCACCCTGACTTCACAGCACCATCAATGCTTATTCAGCTTTCCCTAATATCTCTTATTACTGATCTTCTTGCTTAGTGTCAAGGTCTATAATGAACTCCAGGTGTTATTATTTCAAGTACATTTTTTCTTCCTTTCCTATGGTGCCCTTGTATTTTTTCTTTGTTTGTCAGGATTATAATTATATAATAGATTTCTATAAGTCATACATGATTACTTAAAATCTGTCATATACAAAAGTACAAAATTATCCAATGACTGAGTATGGTTTCATCAATTACAAAGCAAAAGTAACCCTGATACACTAAAAAACTAAAGCTAAGTACCTTTAGGAGGAGCTTTGTTCAATGTCCTTAATACTAAAACTTGGATAAATTATGCTACAGTACTCTTCC